CATGGTGTTACAAAGTTGACTAAATCATCCAAAATTCAATGAAAGTGGTGATCAGCAATGTTATATGTTCAAATGTCTACTGTGAAGGATATCATGAAGCCTTAAAGCAATCGAATGTAAAACAAAAAAGTTATGATTGATGAAAGTAGTAAATCGGTCAGATTTGACCCGAAGACAACAGGAGGGTTAAAGATGGCAGACAATAACACGAGACATTGGGAGTGGGTGTCATGGTGCTTCCTAAATGATCACTTGGGTGATAGAGCTGATGTTTACACCAGTGGATGCTAGGTGATTAAATCACATCTTAAAAGGAGTTTCATGGCAGAAAAGTTAAATCTAAACACTGAAAAGAAACCATGTATGCATGAAGTAATCGTCGTTCACATGTGACAACAACTTTAATACAAAATACTGACGAAAACATCCCCAAGAGGACACAGTTAAAGAATCTAAGATATACTTGCAGCACCTTGCGTCCATTAGAGGGTTGCAGTTGCAGCTGCTGTAGACATTTTTAGGGGTAGATTGTGTGACATTCTTCTGCAGAAAAGCAGCTATTTGTTTCCAGTAGTTGCTGAGGTGGCAGGAGACATCTGTGAGCTGAATCCTGGTGACTGTTTGGGCGTTACAACGTGGTTTTCTGCTCATACAGTAATTACCTCGAGGAGTTTGATACCTCCTCCCCAGTAAACCTGTCTATCTAAAACACCAAGCTAGTGCAAAATGGCTGGATCATTTCATAGCTCTATTACAGTATCATGGAGCACGCTGTGAAAATACGGCACATTTTGAAGCGAGCCTCCTTGCTCTTATTAGGTGAGATTCTGTTACTTTAAAGGGTTACATTGCACTTGTATAGTGCCCCCCACCCTTCCTCTAATAATCCTGTGATAATCTCTCTGGGGTTTTGTAGATTCCTCTCCAGCTGTGGTGGGATTATCACCACTTTTCTAGATTTGTAACCCTGCACTTTCCGCAGCGATTTATAAATCACGGAGGGACTGAATTAGTGGATTATTTACACCAGGAAAGTGATCTATTGCAGCTAAATATAAGCAGCTGAGCAAATGTATCTGTCCATAGTTTTGATCCTATTTTTCAGGATTAGTGCCCTTATATTTATTTGATCTTTACCCTGACATTAATGCATGCATACATGTTTCTTTTCACTATGTAGACTTCATTTTCTTTCAATCAATCAATCAATCAATCAATCAATCAATCAATGTTTATTTATATTGCCCAATATCACAAATGTTACATTTGTCTCAGTGGACTTCACAGTGTGTACAGAATATCAGTATGACAATACGGCACCCTCTGTCCTCAGACCCTCTGTCCTTAGACCCTCTGTCCTTAGACCCTCTGTCCTTAGACCCTCTGTCCTTAGACCCTCTGTCCTCAGACCCTCTGTCCTCAGACCCTCTGTCCTCAGACCCTCTGTCCTCAGACCTTCTGTCCTTAGACCCTCTGTCCTTAGACCCTCTGTCCTCAGACCCTCTGTCCTCAGACCTTCTGTCCTTAGACCCTCTGTCCTTAGACCCTCTGTCCTCAGACCCTCTGTCCTCAGACCCTCTGTCCTTAGACCCTCTGTCCTTAGACCCTCTGTCCTTAGACCCTCTGTCCTCAGACCCTCTGTCCTTAGACCCTCTGTCCTTAGACCCTCTGTCCTCAGACCCTCTGTCCTTAGACCCTCTGTCCTTAGACCCTCTGTCCTCAGACCCTCTGTCCTCAGACCCTCTGTCCTCAGACCCTCTGTCCTTAGACCCTCTGTCCTTAGACCCTCACATCGTACAAGGAAACACTTCCAGAGAAAAACCCACAGTTTAAAGGGAACATGGGAGAAACCTCAGGGAGAGCAACAGAGGAGGGATCCCTCTCCCAGGACGGACAGACGTGCCGTTGCAATGAAACGCCCTTTCAGACTCGATTGAATCACCTCCAGTGTTAACATCTTCTGTAACATAGCTATCATTTAGCAACCTAAGATAGGCAGAAACTTCCTTGAGCATATTTACTACTAATGTCTCGTGTTATAGTCCACTTTTAGTTCTCCTTCTTCAAATGTGACTTTTCAGCTTCTGAAAGTCCATTTAATCAGCAGCATTATGGGAAAAATATGCTCCCAATTTTCGTGCAACATGGTATCATGGGCCAAGGAGAACTGATTGACTGTTGGAGCAGATCCAATTCAAACATCACCTCCTTTTTCTTGTCTAGTTTTCTTCTAAATGTTAAATATATCGTGCTTGGTTATGTTTTCCTTGTCTTTTAACATCTCAAACCTTGTTGGAAAGACGTGTTTTCACTTAAATATAACTGTCATCCTTTTTTTCGTCTGATAATCAATCAGTCACTGTATAAGTAAATCATCACAACACACTGTGTATTCAGTTGTGCACCATATACTCTACTCCTGTATATGTTGTGCATACCGTGCAGAACATAGTAGCCTAATGGGAAAAGACTTGATAGGTTAAAAGGCTGACGGACAACGAACATCTTTCAGGTGTTGATGGTAATCAAACTTATTTTGAATGCAGTATAAGTGGCTCCATCTTTCAACACAACACCACAGCTGAGAGGAGACTCATGGGAAATTATATGTAGGGGGGGGGGGGGGACCGAAGGGGCATATGTGATTTTATTAATGTTATCCGAGAGCAAGACCTATGTTGATATATCAGAGAATCTTTGAGAACACTGTAATTACATCTAAGTTGTTCGAATTGCAAAGTTGTGTTTATGATACTATCAGCAAATTAAAATGGACTCTCGTGAAAATAAAAAGCATTTTCAGACATTAAATCCCTCGATGTTCAGGTGTATAACAGTATGTAGTGTCTCTACTTTAAAGAGTCCTCTCCTGCTGATGTTCAGGTGTATATCAGTATGTAGTGTCTCTACTTTAAAGAGTCCTCTCCTGCTGATGTTCAGGTGTATATCAGTATGTAGTGTCTCTACTTTAAAGAGTCCTCTCCTGCTGATGTTCAGGTGTATATCAGTATGTAGTGTCTCTACTTTAAAGAGTTCCTCTCCTGCTGATGTTCAGGGTGTATATCAGTATGTAGGTCTCTACTTTAAAGAGTTCTCTCCTGCTGATGTTCAGGTGTACTATCAGTATGTAGTTGTCTCTACTTTAAAGAGTCTCTCCTGCTGATGTTCAGGTGTATATCAGTATGTAGTGTCTCTACTTAAAGAGTCCTCTCCTCTGAATGTTCAGGTGTATATCAGTATGTAGTTGTCTCTACTTTAAAGAGTCCTCTCCTGCTGATGTTCAGGTGTATATCAGTATGTAGTGTCTCTACTTTAAAGAGTCCTCTCCTGCTGATGTTCAGGTGTATATCAGTATGTAGTGGTCTCTACTTTAAAGAGTCCTCTCCTTGCTGATGTTCAGGTGTATATCAGTAGGTAGTGTCTCTTCTCCTACTTTAAGGTCCTCTCCTGCTGATGTTAGGTGTGTATCAATGTTGTAGTGTCTCTACTTTAAAGAGTCCTCTCCCGCTGATGTTCAGGTGTATATCAGTATGTAGTGTCTCTACTTTAAAGCGTCCTCTCCTGCTGATGTTCAGGTGTATATCAGTATGTAGTGTCTCTACTTTAAAGAGTCCTCTCCTGCTGATGTTCAGGTGTATATCAGTATGTAGTGTCTCTACTTTAAAGAGTCCTCTCCTGCTGATGTTCAGGTGTGTATCAGTATGTAGTGTCTCTACTTTAAAGAGTCCTCTCCTGCTGATGTTCAGGTGTATATCAGTATGTAGTGTCTCTACTTTAAAGAGTCCTCTCCTGCTGATGTTCAGGTGTGTATCAGTATGTAGTGTCTCTACTTTAAAGAGTCCTCTCCTGCTGATGTTCAGGTGTGTATCAGTATGTAGTGTCTCTACTTTAAAGAGTTCCTCTCCTGCTGATGTTCAGGTGTATATCAGTATGTAGTGTCTCTACTTAAAGAGTCCTCTCCTGCTGATGTTCAGGTGTATATCAGTATGTAGTGTCTCTACTTTAAAGAGTCCTCTCCTGCTGATGTTCAGGTGTATATCAGTATGTAGTGTCTCTACTTTAAAGAGTCCCTCTCCTGCTGATGTTCAGGTGTATATCAGTATGTAGTGTCTCTACTTTAAAGAGTCCCTCTCCTGCTGATGTTCAGGTTGTATATCAGTATGTAGTGTCTCTACTTTAAAGAGTCCTCTCCTGATGATGTTCAGGTGTATATCAGTATGTAGTGTCTCTACTTTAAAGAGTCCTCTCCTGCTGATGTTCAGGTGTATATCAGTATGTAGTGTCTCTACTTTAAAGAGTCCTCTCCTGCTGATGTTCAGGTGTATATCAGTATGTAGTGTCTCTACTTTAAAGAGTCCTCTCCTGCTGATGTTCAGGTGTATATCAGTATGTAGTGTCTCTACTTTAAAGAGTCAACTATTAAATAAACATATTGACATATAATATAGTATATAAAGTAATTAAAATTAGCTCCACCTTCACCTTTTAAAACGCATTTCACTTTTAATACTTAGATTTATTTTCATGCCAATACTTTGAATGCATGTTTTTCCTGGTCATAACATTTATTAATGCATGTTTTGAAGAAATGACAAACATTCTCCACACATTAGTCGATTTTCTGAAATATTTGTTGTTTCTATAAGTAAACGTGTTTGACTTTGGTTGAACGAAACATGACATTTTATTAGGCTATTGGGATTTTTGATGTCACTATCCAATCACCATCGTTTTAGTTTAAAATCAACGCGTCTTTTCCTGGTAACAGTATTTTTACAATTCAGTGTACTGCTTGTAAAACATCTGAGTGCTTCTTCCTCCTCTGCTGCTGTTACTTGACATGTAAGATGTTCCCATGGTCTGTTAACAACCCCCGCAAAACGCAGTGTATACGGTCCTTTTCTCCCACCCTCCTCCCTCCCCCTCCTCCTCTTCCTCCCTCCTCTTCCTCCTCCCTGTTCCTGTCATGCTCCGCTCGGAGACAGACACTTTGAAGCAGGACTTCAGACAGTAAACTGTGGATGCTGCTGCACAGGAAATGCTTTGTGGACTTCTGTTAGTCATTTAGCGGCTTCACTTCTCTAAAGGATCTCTGTCTGAGAACACGGAGCGTAAAGAGAGAGGAAATAAAGTGAACACAGCGCGAGCCGGGATGCTTGAATTAGGACGTTTCGCTTTGACCACAGCAGCAGTTGTTG